CCAGCCCAAACTATAGCAGTAGTCTAAGGGTTAGACAGTGGGAGCACTGAGTACCTTTGGTGAAGGGTTGTGGGGAATCAATAATCCTCAGACAGTTTATCTATGAGAACAAAAATTAACACTGGGTCTGGGGGACCTGGAGGGATTCATGCTTGGTACATCAAAAGTTTTCTGAGTATGTTTATTGGAAGAATAAATGAATGAAAGAGAAGCTTCCCTGTGACCAGAGATATCCATTGGCAATTGATACCTGATATCAATTCCATTGTGCAGATGGGGAGACGGAGCGTTTGAGAGAGTGATTGATTTCCATGGGCTCCTCCCGCCAGCCGATGACTTGTTAATGCCCAAAACAAAACCAGACTTTGGTTTCCAGGCTCAGACCTGAAAGTGTTTGTGCTAGATTTATGCACTCACCGACCCGTTCCCGCTGATGGCCACTTTGATAAATCATTTCAATTAGAAGCAGATGTCATCGTGGCACACTTGGAGACTTGGCTTCCTAAGATTCCAAACAGTGAGGTTGCTACTTTATTTTCCTGTCTGTGTGTGGGTCAGTGTTGGTTCAATCCTCAGGAAAAAAACAAAAACAAAAACAAAAACAAACAAATAAGCCGACAAAATTAGCTGTGGTGGCATTTGAGTTTTCAGGAGAGCTGACATACAGTCATGTGCGTTACTCCAGAAATCATGGTCAGCCTTGTTTGGAAAATGAGCAGGAAAACGAAGAGCTTGGTTGGTTGCACAGAGTAATCAGCGAGCACTCACACAGCCATGGAAGTTTCTGGGAAATCTGAATCTGGGGAATGTAGTTAAAACAGCCCTTCCTGGCAGTTTTGTGACATTTGGCACCACCCATCACGATTTGGGAATCTTGACTTGCAGGCAGAGGTCTTCTCAAATCTTTTCTGTCACATTTACTATTCACATGGCTTTTATTTTCTTGTCATAATTTCCTTTTTTTGATTATAAACTGAGTATGTGGCAATTCTGCAGGAATTTGGGGGTAAATAAAATGTATTCATAAAGATAAAATAAGTCTTTTTTGGGGGAAAGATAAAATGCATTTATAAAGATAAACTAACTCATTTTTAATTTCATTACCACTTTTAACATTCTGCGGTATATCCTTCTCATATATATATATTCCTCCACCACATTATGGGATCTACTATACATTTTTTTTGTACAATCTGCTTTTTTTTTGTTCACCTAAAAGATACTTTGTGAGAATTTCTCTATGTAAAGAAATAATCTAAACAGATTTTGTTTTTTAAACGGGGTGCTGTTTTCAGCTGTGTAGCTGTATCATATTTACCTAGCCATTTCCTTGTGGTGGCTTCATAGAGACTTTTATAGTCCATATGCATATGGGTAATGCAGCATCTATTCTTATACCTTTAGACTTCCTTTTAGAAATGCATTTATTTTGTGAGTAAAGTATTCGATCTTCATTTTGAATCTTTGGTTCCCTTTGGGATCCTGGAATTAAAGCAAAAATTAGAGTGAGAGGGAGAGAGAGAAAGAGAAAGAGATAGAGGAGGGGGGAAACGACTCTTCCTTCTTCTTCCCTCTCTTGCTTTAATGAATTGTCTACTGTGTGTCAGGTTTAGTGCAAGCCCATGGAACAATAGTGAGTGTGGTTCTCCATTTAATAAGCTTGTCACAGAGGGTAGATGCTGTTCATGCTTCCAGTGCGTTAGAGCAGAAGAGTAGAGATAGTGGCCATCTGAGGTTATTAGCCTGGTCAGAGAGGTAAATAATTTCTGAGCTGATATGATTTGAGACGTATTGCTGAAGAGCACGTATGTGTGTGTGTGGGTGTGCTTCCCATGTGTACACTTCATGAATGATCAAGGTAATGTGGATGAGAGAGAGAGAAGGTTGGATGTGTTCACTGCTACTCACCCAAGAACTCTGGAGAGGCTTAATGCTTGCATTCTTGGTTCATTCCTGAAAATAATAACAACATACAATTCCTCTTTGCAGAATTCAAAGCTTATTTAAAGTCGCATGAAATTCTTTCTTACACCCAGATGTTGCATAATGTCACATGCTTTCATCTCACTTCCCATGTGTATTGAGCAAATCGTAACTTCTTAACACCAGACAAATAAAGAAGAGAAAAAAAAAAAAAGAAAGAAAGAAAGAAAAAGCAATTGACACCAGCTGTTCCCATCTCCTACTTACTGTTCCTAGGACCAAGTTCTCTTATTCCCTGAGCAAGCTCCTTCTTGGGTTGGATATAGCTGATATTTAGGAGAAATTGGGCCACATCTTGTTATTGTATTTCCGCTAACAGAAAGGCATAGGGTCAGACTGGGTCTTGGGGTGTCATCTGATCAGGCAGGCTGCACACTGTAGTGGTCTGGTCTCAGTCTCTAGGTGGGAGAAATTCCTCCTAAGTGCAGGCTGCTCCCTTCTCTTCACACTCTGTTCCCCACACTCCTGTCTATGAGAACAAGGCAGGCTTCCACTGGCCCACCTCCAGAATTCTTCATTACAATGGGGACTTCTTTCTCGTTGACCTTTTACTTTAAGATTCTAAGTTCCTAATGCAGAATGGAGCTGCTCCTTATCCTGTGTAAGGTGACATGGTATAGTTGTACTTGGGACAGAAACATTTTTATGGTCATGTCAACTTTGATTCAATGAATGTCTAAAACAAAATATCAAAATAAAATCAAAATTCAATGAATGTCAAAACAAAATATCCAAATAAAAAGGAACTAGATAACTAGACATAAACAAGTTTAGTATATGAAAAGCAATAACCATGTTCATTAGCAAATTTCCCATACACCAGTGAAGCATGTATTTGGAGACATACCTATACATATGCTAATAGAAATTTATTATAATTATCTATAGATCTGAGAGTATTTGAAAGAACACTTTTTCAGCTAGATATATAGCTCTGAGGTAAAATGCTTCCCTAGTATGTACAAGGACCTGGGTTTGATTCTCAGCATTGCAAACAAACAACTCTCTCATCAAAAATCAGCAACCAAAAAAAAAAAAAAAACCCGGAACCCCCTTCAAATTTTTATAAAATTATTATTCTTTGAGCAGTTAGAATATGCCATATACGTTGGGCACTGTGGTGCACATCTGTATCCCAGAGGCTCAGGAGGCTGAGGCAGGAGAATCACATGTTCAAAGCCAACTTCAGCAACTTAGCAAAATCCTGTGTCAAAATAAAATATATATAAAAAAAATTTCAGTGGTTAAGCACCTCTGGATTCAATTCCCAGTTGGAAAAAAATAAAAAGAATATTCCATATACTGACAGCTAAATTTTTAATTCCTAATATTTGAAAAAGATTGGAGTTTAGAGAGGTTAAAACCTTGCTCGAGGTTACACAACCAGTAAGTTCAAAAGATGGAATTTGAAGTCTCAAGTCCTTACAGTTAACCAACTGGCTTTTTTATTTTTATTTTTTGGGGAGCTGGGGGTTGAACCTGGGGTTTCATGCATACTAAACAAGTGTTCTATTACAGAGCTACATCCTGGCCCCTCCAATTTGCACTTTCTAGAGACAACATTTAGTGAACACTAAAATGTCATGGCATTTCATTTATTACTCATCATATGCCTCTGAGATAAAGAGAATTCTTCTTTTATTTGGCAGCTCAAAAGTCAAACCCAAACTGGGTGTGGTGACACTTGTATATAATCCCAGTGGCTTGGGAGGTTGAGGCAGAAGGATCACAAGTTCAAAGCCAGCCTCTGCAAAAACAAGGAGCTAAGCAACTCAGTGGAGACCCTGTCTCTAAATGAAACACAAAATAGGGCTGGGGAAATTCCAGTGTACTGTATGTAATTCCTTTCAGAGTCTACATGATTTGAAATATCCATGGTGTCTCAAAACAAAGTTCTTCCACTTGCACTCATTTCTCAGACTTGAGAAATTCTTAGGAATGGATGTGAATTGGCTTTGGATCAAGAGGGAAGGAAAGAACTAAGAAAGATCTGGACAGGGGCTGAGAAAGGAGAATTTATTCCCTAGACTAATTTGCAAATGGTTATTGAATATTTTTTTTCTTTCAATTAGCTTCAGAGCATGCCCCATTTATTTTCAAACCTGGCTGGTATAACTTTTGTCATAGTAATTCATATTTTCATAATTTTTGCTCAAGCTCGCAAAAACGCTTTTGTGCAGTATTTTGAAACAGCAGGTCAGTGGGCCTCAGAGTTCTTTCCCTGGGAAGGGAAGGGCGGGGAGGGGTGTGCTCCTAAAAGACAGCAAGACACAGGAGAAGATCCAAAAAAGTAGGACACCCTGGAGGGTATTTGGCATATAACAAGGTTGAGCTAGATCCCAAACGAAGCGAAATCAAAGCAGCCTGGCCTTGCATTGGAGATGGGAGTCCCCTGGAGCAGAGAGTGCCCAGGCTGTGGCAGGGTTTAATGACAGGAGCGGAAATGAAGACATTCCTCAGCTCTCCTCCCACCTTCTCCTCCTCAGACCCAAAGATGCAGTATGACTGTGAGGCTAGGTGGAAGGAACACACAGACTGCCTGCAGACGCATAGGTCATTCAGACCCTGCCTGCAGTCAGCATTCTAAATGCACCCTCTAAAGAAATCCTAAAGGAGCTCTGTCCCTGCCAAAATGCAGATATGAGTAGAGCATACAGGCGTGCATTCTGGAAGGGAGGGAGCCTTCAAGGAGAAGTTTTACTGGGAGTGCCCCAAAAGCTCCTGGCCACGAGACCTGACAGAGAACAAGTGTAAGCAAAGTCCTTGCCAGTGGATGCTGAAGGGAACAGAGTGCTTCACAGCCCAAGGAGGAGAATCTTCCAGCCAGCTGTGGAAGGGTTGGCCAAGGTTTCACACGACTGTTTGCATTCTTTAGGCAGGCCAAGGCATCGCTGCCCATGCGAAAACCCCATTCCTTTGAGGGCTGGGCATGTAGCACTGTGGTGGAACACCTGCTTAGCATGTGTTCAGGTACTAGGTCCAATTCCCACCCCCACCCCCCCCCAAAAAAAAATTATTCAGTGAGAAGGGACATTATTACTTCATTGATATATGCTGTATTGCTCCAGTTTTTTTTAAAAATTAACTCAGACAATTTTGTAAAAATTAAATAGGGGCAGGATATAGAGCATTTGTCTGACATGCTTGAAGTCTTGGCTTGAATCCCTAGCACCACAAAAAAAGAACAAAGAAACAAAAACAAAGACAAAGAAATAAACAGAGAACAATAAGAATACCAAGGAAATGTGCTATCCTGTAGACAGACAGACAGAAGACACACACACACACACACACACACACACATATCCCTACCTACATTGGAATCACAGTTCAACAACCAATATCTTAATATCTTCTTAAACAGCCTTTGCATATTGAAATCTCTTTACTGATAATATTTTGAAACAGTTCTTCCTATAAATAAATGGTTCTTAGCCTGGGAAGCCCCAGAGCCTGGTAGTAAGAGACTCTGATTTAATTGTTCTTGAGAGGGTCCTGAGCTCAGGTGATTTCTGCCCACTTCCTATGTGGCTATGCACCTTCTTCACCTGCCTGGTGTATGTCATCCCTGCCATTCCCCGAGCGAGAGCAAGAGCAGCACGTCTGGCCGTTTAAGCCAGATTATGATATGCTCTTAATATTGTATTTCAAGTGGATTTCTTGTGTATTTCACTGTCGTGCTTTTCAAATACAGGAAATCCTTTTGACCTATTGATTTTGCAAAGCAGGTTTCCAGAAGTGTTAGAAATGCTCTCGTGGTCCTCTGCCACCGACATGGTAATCTCAGGGTTTAGCAGAATATACTAGCCTCTAGCCATGACCTCCCATCAGAAGACCGGCATCAGAGAGAACAGACTGGCATCTTTTCATCCACCTGTAAAATTAAGAAAAACCTCATAATCCATGTTTGGATGGGTTTCACACTCTGAGAGAATCCCACTGGTCATTAATTAGTCTTTTCACATGAACATAATTATGTTGCGCTTCCTGTGTTTTGGAAATGGAAGAACTTGGGCAACTTGTTCAGAATTACCTAGTTGTGATTATACCAGTTAGTTGGTTTCTTACTGCCTTGAGCCCATCTCATTTACCTTGTACAGGAGAGCTTTCCATCTGGCCACAAGGAGAATTGCTTTTTTGCCTTAAGAACCGAGAAAACCAAAACCATCTTTAGATCTTAGGACATGATTACTGGCTCATGTGTAATATCCCAGAAGTCTGAATTAAAAGAATTTAATCCATGTTGCATAATAGGATTCCACATTTTAAAAGTGTATTTCCAAGAAATAATTCATGTCTGTACAATTTTTCTATTGATTGCACACATTTATTTATGTTCTAATAAAAATAGTCATTATCACCTGTATGTTCTTAATCTTAATACATATCATTAAAATACTGCTGTACTCTATTGAAAAATGTGTATGGGGGTCTGGGAGTATAGATTAGTGGTAGAGGGTTTGGCTAACATGTGCAAAGCCCTAGGTTGAATCCCCAGCACCTCAAAACAAACAACCTATCCAAACATCTCAAACTAAAAATGAATGAGGTATTATTACTATATATTATGTAATATGTATTAAATATTTATAATTGCCTTTCATAAAATTGGTAGTTAGACAACGACCCATTTTATTTTATCTAGGTTGTATGAAAGTCTTATGAATCAGAAAAAAAAATCAGTATACATTTCCCTAGAGATATGTAAATTAATCCATAGTTCAATTTGGGTAGTTTAGCCTAGGAAAGCAGCATTTAATTTTATTTTTAAGTATTATTTATCTAAAAATGTTTACTAAGTTCAAAATTGAAAAAAAAAAAGCCAATTGTTGGGACTGGGGGTGTAGCTCAGTGGTTGAGTGCTTGCCTAGCATTCAAGGCCCTGGATTCAATGTCCAGCATCACATCCAAAAAAAAAAAAAATCAATGTGAAAAACTTCCTACCTATCTCCTGGCTACCCAAGTTTCCTTTCCTCAGTTCACATGTGCTACCAGATTTTTTTTTTTAGACCACTTTTATTTGTGCTGCATTTAAGCCTATTTGGAGAAGAAAATAAATTATTCTTATTGAAAGCAAAATGAAAAAATAAAGTTTTGAAGGAAAACCAGAGAAGAAGGAAATCTTTGAAGTGCAGCAATATTTATCACCAAAATTCTTTCCAAAACCAAGCTCTATCAATCACTGGCTGAGCATAATGCTTCCTCAGTAGATGTTGGAGAAATATTTGCTCATTTAACAGACGATTGATAGAGGAGCATCTTCCTTATCTCTTACATGGTCCTGTGCATTTTCTTGTTTCTGCATCCTCTCTGAGGATTGGGGAAGTTGGGACTCCTTGACTGTAATGTCTGTTCCTGTGACCAGCCTACTCCCCTAACTTGCCCTGGAGACTGGAGCCCCCTGCCTGTCCTTCCCACACGTACAGTTCGGGTTCACTGGAGCTAACTTGGAGCCCCCAGGTGTGTTCATGGTGCTGAGAAACTTGGAGCACTTTCTCCTGAGATGTGGG